ATATACATATATATTTATAATACTAACTAAAAGGCAAATTTTTGTATTAAGTATTCATTCTGATTATATTTATGATTGCCAAAAACTACCTTGATGGTCTAGTGGTAACCAGCCATTTGTGATGTAAAGTGACCTGAACTCAAATCCTAGTGTTTTCAGTCCCATTTCTCTCAATCCCCTTGTAGTTTGTGTTAGATACTATGGTCTGTTTAGCTCAATTTCTTGGAGTTTCAACTTTTTGATATTATTCATGCTTTATAAATTAAACTCTTTCTCTTAAAACTTACATTTTAAATTTTTTTTAACCTTAAAAAAATCTCAAATAGTAAAAATTCAAAAGTTTCAAATTCTTACATTTTATAAACTTCATTTTTACTTACTTTTTTTTTTAATTTCTAAAAGCAACTTTTAAATTTTTTTAAATAAAAATTTAAACTTATCACTCATAAATAATATAAAAAAAAAAAACTCCAAAAACCTTCACTAAACATGTCCTCACCCTGTTTCCAAAAAAGCTAGTATAAGTGTAGTTCTTCTGCCTATTTCATTAAGTCTTTCACTGGCTGGATCCCACTTCCCACATTTTTAATCTCTTTTCCACAATTTTAAAAACAGTTTTTTTGAAGATGATATGGATTTTTTTAGGAAAAAAGCAAGCGTTTTTTCCCCCATTGCATCAAAGAACATTTCACCAAAGATTGACTCAGGTGTACCCAGGCATTAAACAGATAAAAAAAAAAAAAAACATTAGTTTAATCTCATATCAGCAGTGTAAATAATCCATCTAACGTTACCATCAATTGATCTCTGTTTCCCTATAAAAATTCTATTGTTCCTTTCATTCCAGAGGCAGAGCCTCCATCCTCACAATTGTCTTACTTCTTCCCCCTACTATTCCCTCAGAGCTTGATGACATGAATTTTCATTATGTATCTCACCTTATCTAAAAAAAAGTTAGGTTTCATTTATTAGTGTTTTGCACAATCCTTTTTCTTACAATACATTATGCAAAGATATAAATTTATAATTATTAATTAATTTTTTTATTCTAACTAATTTTTATTAATATTTTATATATTTTAAGATGGTAAAAAAAAAAAAACCTATTATAGCACAATACAACACAACATTAAAAA